AAATAAATAAAATATAATAAAACTCTATTGTGTCCACATAGAACTAAAAAATATTTTTTTAAAAATTGAATAAACAAACACTTGAGAGAGAAGGGACAATGAATGGTTCTTTACAGTGGAATTCAAACTAATAAATATGAAAAGAATGAAGGAACTAGAAAATCAGCAGAGTAATAGTTGCAGGCAAGAACCATCTTTGGATGCTGAAATTAATGGACAAAGATATGATGAGAAATAAACTATCTACAGAGTCTCAAGGCATTGCTCCACCAGGTACTCACAACTACAAAGGTAAAAATCAGATAACTTCACTGTCGAAAAAACCTCATTGACACAGTCTTAATCAAGTTATGGAATTTAACATACCAGTAAAAAGATATGAACATCAGGTATTCCCTACTTTGAGGCTTAACATGGTCCAATACGTCTATATTCTTCTATGAGAAAAAAAATGTATTTCTCACACTAATAAAAGGAAAATATTAAACATTAAGCAAACCATATAGAGGGATATTTTACAACATATATAATCAGTGCTCTTTGAAAGTATCAATGATATTAAAAACAAAGAAAGAGTGAGGAATTGTCAAATGTCAGAGAGACTAAAGGCACTTGAAAACACATGCAATTTGTATTCTGAATTGGATTCTTCGACCAAAAAAGGACATGAAAGGGATAACCAGCAAAACTCAAATAAGAGCTGTAGAATAATTAATAATATTGAAATGATGCTAATTTCCTATAGTATTCTTCTAACATTTTGGTAAATCTAATTTTACTTCAAAATAAAATGTGTTTCCTTTTTAATACAACATTTCTAGGTGCAAAAACCCCAGTATGAGGAACAACTCGTTTTGACTTACTATTATAATTTTTATATTAAAAGAAGTTATAAAATTATGTCAGATGCCAAATCTCAAAGTCCAATTCTTATCATGTATTCTGGATTGCAGTAAACAGGAAGCAAGCCAATGAATGAAAAACAAACAGTGTACATGGTACACTGTTCACAAAGAGATAAGCCAGAGGGGTGGCAGGGAAATGAACATTCTGGTCATACAACGGCCCACAATATCATAAAGTAAAATTAAAATAAATATTTTTTAAAAAGCAATTGAATCAGCACATGATGAGTTCATGACTTGAGGAATGTTTGTGGTATTCATTTTTATGACTCTGGTAAGAAATGTTTATTATTAGGTAAAGGTTGAATTGGTTCTGGTACATACCCAGATTTCAAGTCTGTTATCCTCAAACAATTTGTAGCATCCAATCCCACTTTTCCATTCCGGACCACACTAGATATGAATGGGGAAAGCATTGGAGAAATTCGGTTCAAGGCCACTTCTGGAGACATTTTAACTTGACTTGTAAACTACCACTGAAAGCAAAAGGAAAGAATGATGATCAGAGTCAACAATAACAAAAAATTAGATACAACAAAGCTTCCTAAAAGCTGGCACAGCCCTCACAATTTTCCCTTGAATGAATAAATACTTCATTTTCCCCTCTAAGGAGCCTCTTGCAATGACCCTCCGAAAGAAATCATTTCCCTGCTGCTCAACCACTCAGGACATAGACTGCACCACTGCTTTTTAGAGACAGAACCCTTGAAGTACAACTCTCTCCTCCTTTCTGAAGATGATTCTTGCTCTACTCTATTTAAAGCTGTTCCACTCTAGCCAGGCATGGTGCTGTATACCTATAATATCTGCTACTCAGGAGGCTGAGGCAGGAGGGTCACAAGTTCAAGACCACCCTGGACAACACAGATCCTATCTCAAAACAACAACAAGCTGTCCCCCTCTTTTTACTGCCTCTCCCACTTCAGTTCAGACCAAGAAGCATTCACTAGCAATTATCTCCCAACATACAAAAAAATACTCCACTCAGTTAAGAAGCCCTTCTTTGGTATCCCCACAAGGAGTAAAAAATTGATAATAATATTTTAAATTCTAAAACAAGCACAATCAGCTTGCAATTCTTACTTACCAGAAATTATTTACAGCTGTTATACCTTCCTCCACAGTGTATTCTAACCTCCTGCTTATGTGCTTGCCCCTACTTGGACTTGAATCTTTAGTGTTTTAACAAAAGTATCTGGCAAACACTAAGCATTCAGTAACATTTTACAAATGAGTAAGAGGACAAATGCTAGAAAAATATTTAGGGATAGGAAAAATATAATATGCCCATAAAAATTTTGGCAGGAGAATAAATGTAACAAAATGAGAGGAAAAAATCTACATAACAATTAAATCATGAAAACACACACCTATGTAGACGCTAAGCAACACAGACTAATACAAATCTTTCAGTCTTCGACTTTAAGGCACTGAGAAGTCCTTACACTTGAAAATATAAAGCAAAACCAATAAATCATATCTAAATTACTTGGAAACTCATGGGAGTACATCAATTCCTCTTAATAGAATTCTAAATGAAAGCCTACTTTCCGAGGTGAATAATTCAATTTAAATGATCACTTTCTTCCTCGAAATGAAAGAATAATCCCACATCAAAAACAAATAAGTTTCCATCCAGTTACAATTACAAGAAACTAATATTCTCATTCTAGTTTTTCATGTATTATGCCACATGAGAACATACAAATGTTGAAAAAATTACAATAAATACTATTTTCGGTATTTACTATTTGTTTTTCATTTCAGACAATAATAAAGGGAAGAGCTGCAGTGATCTTTCAAAAAATAAGAACTTTGTCACACTCTTTAGTGATGAAACCAAGAAGTACCTTTGAGGTAGCAAAAGCTTTATACTTTATGTGTTTAGTTCCCAAATGATCTTTTCTGCAAATATAAAAAAGCTCCTATTCTAACTCTTTAGCAGATGACCTACCTCCACCACTGTCAACACAAGGAAAAAAAAATTTATGCATTATACTATCAACCATAGAAATTACCTTTACTTTATAACATTTTATCACTTACAAAGAGTTTTCACATACATTATTACAGTTGCTCTTAACAACCTGGGTAGTAAGGCAGGTATTTTAATTCCCATTTTGCAGATGATATGGATAACTGTGGGGGGTTGTACAGTATATTAATCCATATAATCATTTTGAAGGCTTTTCGTCCTATTCTGCAACATTTCTAACTTTATTTCTATCCACTAATGTCAAAGTTCCTGAAAGGATGCTTATCTAGATCATAAGCAAAACACACAAATATTCATCTCAGAAAAAAAAGCATAAGGATCTCACAGATATTATTCTTCCATGTTTTTTTTTTCCCACAGTACCTACTATTATTTTACCTCTCGTTTCTACAAAAAGAAAGAGGGGGAACGGAATCAACAAATTTTCAATCTTGACTACTGACAGATTAAATTATTCACCTCCTAAATTATTCACTTCCCCCTACAACTCTGCTCCCTGGTGAATACTGTCCCCATTCTACAGACATGAAAATTGAAGCTCTGCAAGCAAGATACTTATTCAGTCATAAACATGGCAAACAGATAAGAATTTAAATTCAAATTCGAATTTTGAGGATTCTCAAAGTCCACTATTCCTGTCTTCCTATCAAATAACATAAATTAAAAAGATCACATAAATTAAAAAACATCAAGGTGATTTTTTTTTCTTAACATCAAGACTCAGTCAGAATTTAAATAAATGATTGTTTCAAAACCAGAGACAAACTAGACTACTGTGGACCTACTGCTGAAGTTGGCTTGAATGATTCAATAGTTAAATTCTAAATCTGAACCAGAAGCTAACCATACTAACAGTGAACAAGTGTCATGACTTTAGGATGACACTGAGGGAATGAATTTGTCTTTATTTCTGGAACAGTCATAGTACTATTTTTTTTTTTGATAGTGCTAGATTCCATGCAGGATTAACATCTTTTTCAATCATGAGAAGGTGTGACTTATCTAAGAAAGAGGGAAAGAATACTGGTTCCAAAATCGGGTCATTGAATAATAACCAAACAAGGTGGTCCTTTGGTGCAGTGAGCAGGGACATGAATTGTCCACTTCCCCCTAAATAAGACAAATGAGAGAATGGCAATATTGTAACAGATTCCAGATAGCCAGAAATTTGGGGTAGCCAGCCTCTTTTGAATGCCAGTTCTGCAATTTGTATTTCCTGATTTTGACGTACTGCATAAGGAAAATGCAAAAATACATTTTTACAAAGATCTCCTGCCCCAAAATAAGGTCACATCAGGTCTTCTGGTAGGCTGCCTGGGGAACACAAAGACGTCTAAAGCACTGTCCAGGCTCTTGCAATTAGGATAGGATGACAAGCACGGAAACACGTGTCCGGTTGACGTCATGGAACGGAAAGGGGTGGCCCCCCCTTGCTGCGTCACATCAACGTCATACAGCACACGAGGGAAGTCACACTGGGGAAGCAATTTCTCCAAGGGGCAAAATCAGGAAAAACAAATCATTTCAGACTCAAATATAGACCACCCAACTCCAAGAACATTTAAAAGGGGACGCTCCCCCTTCTCCCAAATTGTATGATCCCCTCATCAAGCGGAAAGAGGGATCACCCTGAGGGTTCATTAGGGACCAAGGGGTGGACCAGAAAGGGAGACAGGTAACTCTGAGGTTTGGGGGACTCGTTCTTGAGTGGACTAGCGTGATGGGGGTGAGCAGGGCATCTTTGAAACAGGGGGCCTTCTCTATAGGAAGAGTAGGCAAGCCCTCTGGCCATCGATCTCTGCGCCACCTGTGCGACTCGGGATCCAACCTCCCCTCACCAGCCCCAGTCCTGGTACCTGGAACTTAGTCCGATCGGTAACCGGCGACTACGTGGGGTACAGGTTACCCGAGCGCGCCCCCGACCGACGCACCGACCTGAGCGCGCACTGCGGGCCGGATGCGTGCGCGCTCCCGGACGTCCCGCCCCGCCCCCTTCGGGAGTGTGGCGGCGTGCGCGCCCCCGTGCCGCTCCCGCCTGGCGCTCGGAAAGGCGTCCCCGCAGTGCCTGAAAGCTCTGGGTCAGCGCCTGCCTCGCGCGTGCCGAGGAGCCTGGCACTCGTAGTATCAGGAGGGTCTTGGGACATGAGGCGGTGCGGGAGACAATTCCTGAAAGAACTGGGGACCGTTGTCGGGCGGGGTTGTTCGGGCATTCGGGTGGGCGACCCGCGTAGGCGTGTGAAAGGCCCGCTTCGATAAGAGGGTAGGAGCGGCATCTCTGGTTAAAGGGTCGGGCAAAGTGCAAAGGGTACAGTCCAGGTTGGACAGCACCTCATCTAGCCATGGCGGCGTCTGGGGAGCCCCGGAGGCAGTGTCAGGAGGAGGTGGCGGCGGTGGTAGTGGTGGGCTCCTGCATGACCGACCTGGTCAGGTTAGTCTGTCGTCGGCAAGCGACTCGCGGGAGGGGGTGGACGGTGCTCAGCGCCTAGCGCTGGGACTTTGGGGACCGACAGGGTCGCCCTGGATGTCAGCTACAGGTTTCCCCAACCCGCAGCCCACCTTTCTTATTTGGAAAAGGGAGAATTCGGGTTTGTAAAGGTACATGGCAGGAGAGGGATGAGGAGGGCAGGGTTTAGTGAAGGCTCCAGTATAATCAGAAGCGCCTCCAGACCTATGCCTGTCTCCTTGGCCAGGCTGCTGCGCCTTCCCCGTGACCTGCCAGGTGACTGCCACGTCATCCTACCTCCTGGAATAGGCCTACCTCACAGGGTTGTTGTGAGGACTAAATTAAGTATTTTGTCAGCCGAAACACTATCTGAATTGGGAATTCTTCGTCTGAGCTTGTTGTGTAAAATAATGAGTTAAGCAGGGGTCAAAAAGACACCGTTCACTGTATTGATGATTGGCGTCCCTGCCGTATTTTACGGTTACAGCTTGCTTTTCAGTATTGTTGTAATCACGGATTACCTTATGGTAACCAAAGTGTGAGTCAAAACAAAAATCCATAAACAGTCTTTACAACCACTAAAAATATATAATCAAACAGGAGCCGAAAACGTGCTAAATGAAGATAGAAGAATTAGGTCCATGACTTTGGAGAACAGATCCTTCTGATTTATCATCTTTTTTAATGAAAATTGATTTTCTAACTACAAAATTAATTGTATGAAAAAAATCAAATATTTTAAGGAAATCCTACTTCTCAGATTATTTCAGTTTAATATGTGGGTGAACAGTGTTTTATTATAATGAGGGTTTATGTCATTAAAAAATTATTAGGCATACTGCAGTAAGATCTCATCTGTCCCTAAATCTTGTTTTGCCAAAGGATAACAGTAAAAATAAGTCACCAAATCCATGCTTGTGAGGCAAGTGTTCTACCACTAAGCTACAACTCCAGCCCTGTTATTTATTTTTATTGGTCTTATCTGGAAATACTAACCCCTCCCCAACCCTCTTGGGCTAAAGGGCTCAAGGACCCCAGACCTGTCTCTACAATCCAGAGCCACACTCCACCAGAAGTTCTAGGAACTCTCCCAGAGAGGCCCCTTCCTGGCTGCCTGCCTATCTGCCAGGGCTGTGTCCTCATTCCTGGGTGGTAATCTGCAGAGCCCAAAGTTGGGTGGAGGAAGGAACAGGAACATAGTTTCATTCTTGAGCCACCAAGAGGCAAGAGTCACCTGTCTCCTTTATAGGGCTTTTAATGGGTGGGCAGGTGCTTTAACTTTACAAAAGGACTTCCCCTATTAGGAGCATTGTCACAGAGGTTGCACCTGCCTTTGCTCAGCTCCTTGGGGTTGGTGGCCCTAGTGACTATTCTTCTACCCTGAGTCATTGTCATCCCCTGACTGAATACAATCACATCTGCATGTGGATTGTATCCTACTTAGCATGCCAGGTCCTTTATAGTGGAATAAATATATATAATTTATTCAGGGGTAACAGCCTCAGACCCCTACCTTCAATTGCCTGTGTGACACCAGCCTAGAGGCCTTCCTGGCCCTCCTCCAGAAGATCTCTGAGTGCTTCCCCCCCTCCTTTCCAGACTCCTCTGCACTTGCCCACAGGCAGACCAGGCCAGCCCCTCCCTGAACTGTGGAGCCAGCTCCTGGCTGGCCCTGTTCCAATTCCCTGCTCACACTCCACCCAAGACAAGTTTTTAAAGCCTGTGTTGCTCCCTGCAATGGCTTCCCTTTCATCATAAGGAAGATTTTTCCAAAATTTCTGAATATAGGATTTTTGGTACAAGGCACTAAACCCAGTGGCACTTAACCACTGAGCCATATCCCTATTCCTTTTCTTTTTTTGAGACCATTTCACTGTTGTTTTAGGGTCTCACTAAGTTGCTGAAGCTGGCCTCAAATTGCTATCCCCCTGCCTCAGCCTTTGAAGAACTGAAATTAATCATGCACCACCATGCTCAGCCTGAATGTAGGATTTTTATAAAAATCCTGCATCTGTGATAAACCTGGAGCCAACTTTGCTGGTTACAATGCATATCATTATTGTATTATTTTTCTAATGCTCCTGAAACAAATCACAAATTTAAAATCTTAACAGATTTGTCCTTTACATACTTCTGAACATCAGAAGTCTAATACAAGTTTCATTGGGCTAAAATCAAGGTGTCAATAGGGCTGGGCTCTTTTCTCAAAGCTCTAGCAATGACTGTTGTCTTCTTTTTCCAGCTTCTAGAGGCTGCCTGTGTTCCTCAGTTGGTCATAGCCCCTTTGTCCTTGAAGACAGCAGTGGTTGGTCTGTTTCTCATGTGGCATCACTCTTACTCTTCACCATTCTGCCTTTAAAGGAACCCTGAGGTTACAGTGGGTGCCAATAATTCAGGATAATCTCCTTACTTTATTGTAGTTTCTTTTTGAAATCAAATAATTGTATAACTTTTAGGGAACCTTTGAATCTGATCAGTCTAGCCTCACATTTTGCAGATGAGGTAACTAAGAAAGCTTAAACAGCCCACCCCAAGTCATATAGCCAGTTAATGGCATAGTGAAGGCTGAAACTCAAGTCTCCCACCCCCTATCTTTCCATTCTGTCATTCTACCTCTAATTCTGACTAGTAACATTGCCCTTTTCATCTGTGGTTCATATGAAACTGCCATAGTCCGGCTGCAGCAAAATAACCAGGGGGTGACGAGCAACTTGTGTTCATTGATACAGCAGGAGTGGGAGCCGTTTATTGTAGGACAGGAGGGGTATATATATATTCCACACAGCTTATCTTAATCAACATAAACTAGATGCAGCAGTCAACCAATAAGGAATCTCCACACTTAATGGCTCGCCATCTTGACTTGTTTACAACCCTAACATGAAAGCTTTTAGTCTGTGTATTCACTAAGTGTTTCCCTTATAATATGATAAAGAATATCAACTAAGGATTTTTAATTCTTGGGTCTAAAGATAGTATCTTCATTATTCTTCCTTATTTTCTTCTAGAGTTTAACTGTAACCAACCTGGATGCCATGCCTTTACTGTAGAATCACTTCGGAAATAAAACTACATCAATAGCTAAGCTGTTTGGATTGTATCCAAGTCAACTTTCTTTATATATTACATTACTGTGTGCCAGACACTGCTAATTCAATCAATGAGCAACTTTTTTTTTTCATTTCTAACTTCAGACTGCTATGAATAGTAAGTGCTATGTTATAATAATTTTAAAAAATCATTAGCTCATCCAACATGACAAACAATAGGCATTATTTAATATCCATCTATATTTATCACCATCCTCTTCCTTCTTGAACACTTAACTCTAAAGTTTCTTGTTGCAAAGATAAATCAATCCTGTTCTTACAGAAAATAAAGACAAAAGTTGCTTCAAAGACAAATTTCCATGAAAACCTAACATAAGATACATTTTTAGAAATTAGGTTCATAGCTTGATTAATCATAATTTCATTAATAGATCTTAATTCTTATGACATACATCACCTTTTTTAAGTCATTTATCCAACTCATTTTTATTACATTTATACTATGTATCAGGCAATTCTCTAAGAGAAAAGGAACCCAGTCAAAAAATCTCTACCTTATGGAGCTTATATTCTAGAGGCAAGACAGATGCTATCAGTAAAAATAAGCAAAATATATGGTATGTTAAACAAATGCCACAGAGAGAAAGCAAGAAAGGAGGATGGAAGTACTAAGTATAAATCAATGACCACAGAAAGCCTCACTGAGAAGATGATTTTAAATAAAGACCTAAAGGAGGAAAGAAAGCAATCCATAAATATACCTGAGGAAAGAGCATTCCAGACAGAGGAAATAGCTTATGCAAAGGCCCTGTGCAGTAAACAGCAGGAAGTCCAGCATGGAGGAAAAGAGGAGGGCAATAAGTGACCAATGGACATTGGGTCATACTCGATGAGATGAAAAATCACTGGAGGAGTTGAGCAGAGGAGTAACATAATCTGACTGAGATTGTAATAGGATCATTCTGGGGGCTGTGTTAGAAAAAAAGCTAAGGAAGACAAGTGCAGAGGCAGGGAGACAGGTTCAGGATGGATCCCAGTGATCCAGGCAAGAAATGGTGGTAGCTTGAAAGCTCTACAGTGGGGAGAAATGAGCATCTTTTGATTATATTTTGAAGGTAGAGTTGATAAGATTTGTTGAGGAGTGAGAGGTCAAGGATTACTCCTGATTTCTGCAGCCTCTGCAACAGGAAGAGGAAGTTGACCTTTCCTGAGATGCAGAAGATTGTGAGCAGAACTGGGCAGGGAGAGGACTGTGTCAGGAGCTCAGGGTGGACATCCTAGGGTTGAAGTACCTATTAAAGATCCAGAAGAC